CATTATGAAGTTTTTTTGAATAAATGTGGCTATGCATGGGTTTTAAGGGGAAAGAAAATCAGTGCGTTTGTTTGAACCTGAATCCCTACTTGTCTAAATTCCAAGAGAGAGGGAAGCTTAATGAAAATATTTTAAAATTCAATCTGATGAAGGCCCATTTACTGAAGAGCAATTCCTAGGATCAACTACTTTCCAATTCTACTCACTTGCACTGTTTATGACAGTGTTCAGTTGGAACTTACTTTATATACATGACATTCAACAGTGCAACTTATCAAATCAATTTAGTGTGTGACCTTTTGCAATTTCTTTCTCTTTTATATAAACTTGTCACTGTTATTCAATTCAATGCATTATTGATCTACATAAATACAGGATGTATAAAAATGATTTTGTGTATTACAAAAAAATAAATCAGTACACGAGGTTTTCAAAACAAATTAACTGACCAGTAGCCTTTTAAAAATGTAATATCTTTTCTAAAAACTGATTTTGGAAGAGGCAACTATAAAGATGCGATGACATAATCGGCCCTGATTGAGTAATCAACTCACTTGTGATGTTGGAAATGGCATTACATCTGGATAACCACTTTTCATCCAGATTTTTAAAAACAAGACTAAATTGGGTTGAAACAGTGGTTGATCTATTTCAGTAGTGGCTATTTTAACTTGTGAGTAGTATCATTAGTAATCTGGTTGTGTGATTGAAAAACATAATTTTCATGGATGTTTTATTTTCCATATAGGTACAGATAATAAAAGGCTGGAGTTTGTCACCATTGTCATAGAAAGGAACAAACCCACCAGCCAGCCCAGTGCACTTGCCCAAATCATCCACACACCTATAATCTTCAAATCTATGCTAAATTTATAGGAATTGGAGAAGAGGTTCAGAATTAACAAATCCTAAAAATAAATGACAACAACAAAACCTTCTCTACAACCTGAAACTGTTCTAGAATCCAAATCTATTGGGAACAAAAATGAAAAAGTTTAGCAGAAACTAAAGGCCAATTTATCTCCTCTTCAGTATTCTCAGAATTCAACTCAGGAGGACAGAGGCCCAAAACAGTAATCTTCACTTAGTTATTGAGAGGCAAAACTTACAATCGACAGTACACTGTTTCCCCATCTCGCCCATTTGCCAACCCTTTACAGTACAGAGGAAATACACAGGGAAAATTTCACAGACTACAGCATTACTACTTCCTAGTGATAGTTTATGTCTACAGTTTCAACTTACAAATTCCATCCTCTAATACCGGAGACTTGCAGTTATGCAGAATTTATGTTTAAAAAATGCAAAATAAGAAAACCAAAACTTGAAAAAAGAAACAGTCCTTTCTGAAAATTATATATGTAGACAGAAGTTCACAAAAGCTTTCTTCCCAATCATTGCAATTGATCTTCTGAAAGTTCACTTTCTTTGATTAACAAGTACTAAACCTCAAAAGTTAAATGTTGATGAAACCAATCTGAAAATACTCTACACAGAATAAAAAACTGAAACTTAAAACATTACATCAGTCAAAAACATTTATTTAGCATATGCTGAAAAGATACTTTGACACCTTTCAACAGAGGTGTCATAGTCTCTAACCTCAGGTAAGTTTTGTTGAGTCAAAACCACACGAATATATAGACTAGGTCACTTGAAGGTAGCAAGTTTTGAGTTAGAAAGCCTCAGAAAATCAAAACACTTAATGATTCAAAGATAGGAAGGCATTTTGGGCTGACGTGGACAAGACATGAAAACAGTGAGATTTGACTGCCATTCTGCAAGGAAGGACCCAAATATGGTGAAAAATAGGAAATTGGTTAAGAAAAGGAAAATATAAAGCTGAACATAGTGGTGCACCCCTGTAATTCCAGCACGCTGGGAGACTAAAGTGGGAGGATTGCAAGTTCGAGCCTTGGCAATTTAATGACTTACTAAAATTCCGCCTCAAAAGAAAAACAAAACAGGAAAAAGTGGGACAATGCGAGTGGCTGTAAAAGGGATCAGTAAGCGCAGGCTGAGACTGATATCACTGTGCCTGCTGTCATTCTGCATTCCTCTCTCCTTGTCTTAGCCATTCTTGTGTCCAGTTAAGGTGGACCTGGAGCCTGTGCTCCATCACCACGTGTGGGACCAGGTGGCTTCACCAGTGCCCTCTGCTGAAGTTCAGTTTAAACAGTAATAGTCTGCAGAGCATCTAGTTAATATGAAGCAGACTTCACAATTTATTTTGGTGCCACCTAAAATACTTTTCTTATGACTAATGAAAATTTGGAGGATATTGGTAACCAGAAATAATTCTGGCCACTGTCAAAAAGCCATATTTTCTCTGGTTCCTTGCACTTGTGGTCAAGTTTTAAAATCAAAAGTTAATGTGGAGCTATACTTTAATAATGTACAAGTCCTGAGTGTAGAGGACAGGAGACCAGCATCTCTTTCCATTCTGCAAAGAAAGTCAGTGGCAAGTCATCTCGGACTTTTCTTCCTCTACCCAAAATACATTAAATCTTGGAGAGATGACGCATCTGTTGGCAAGCATAGTTATCAGAGGGACACTGTAAGAAATCTTTTGGGTGACCTCTGACTAACAGATTCTTGTGTGAAGATGAATACACATGGGCAAAAGTCAGAGCATAAGCCCATGTGTGCTTATAAATTTGAGAGGCTTAAAAATCCCTCTTTTGAATTCAATAGTGTGGCCCATAAAAGAGGTTGATGGGAACTAACAAAAGGATGCACGGCAGTTTATAAAATTTGTGTCACAATCATCTTTCCCTTGACAGCTGAAATAAATTAAATTTGTCCACATCGCTCACCTGTCTCTCTGCTTTAATCTCTACATTGATTTTTGACCAAACAGCCTTAGGGCTAAAGAATCAAACTGCACCGGAGAAAACAAAAATGATCTATCATGTTTTCTGTTTAATTTTTTAAATTCAATCTTTCTTTACTTCTAAAGGAAGCAGACTTCCTTGAAAGAAGGACTTTAGCTAAAGTATACAGTTAATGGTTGTCATCCTCCTTCAATTATAATTTTTACTACTGGGTGAAATGTCCAATTGTTATGCTTCCAATCTGTCAGTTGAATGTCAAAAGCCATTTTGCGTTTGTTCAAACTCACAGACAGTGACAATACCTACCATTACATTGTCATCTTCATTTCATTAGAAGATTTTGATGTCATTTCTATTTTATGTCCAAAGAAATAGTTCTGTGCAAGATAGTTTATCATGTTTGGATAAATGAAAGATGTGTGCATAATTAGTAAAAGTTAAATAACTACATCTCGTAAAAATCTATGGCCTTCATTTCCTCTCTGATTTAAGATGTTTATAATTACTTTTTCAGCACATAATAAACAAAACCTTATCCCACATGTGTTTGAAAATGATTATGATATTTTTCTGAATGGAACATTTTCTTGCCTGGGCCTTTAAAAAATTTTACCTTCTTTTTCCTGACTAGGTTAGAAGAAAAGCACTTCCATAATGCAGGAGTTTTGAGGGAAGAAATATTTTCTGTCTATGCCTCTCAGGAATGGAGTCACACTATATTTAAAAATGAGGAATCTGCTTATTCTCTGTGATTTAAGGTCAGCCATTGTTTGACACTAAGTAGCAAATGCAGCGTCCATCTCACCACAGCTTCTCCTCCCATGGAGAGCAGCAAAGTGGCTTGATGGCCCCACGTGGCCCCCAAAGTAGCTGTGGATGTAAACTGCTTTCCTCTAGCGACTGCAAAGACTGCTGTCCCAAAAATCTTCAACTCTTCATTTCCAGTGCAGGAAGAGATGTCAGTCTGCAGTATAAACAGAGACTAGAAAGAAGCAGCCAAAGTCGAGGAAGCCTTGCTTCTATAGAACAGCTGGGTGTGAGGATGCCAAGGAAATGAACTGGCTAAAAGCATGTAGGAGAAAAAGAGGATAGGAATGAAGGAAAAAGGGAGGCAAGCACAGAGTGAGAATAAAGTGAAATAAAAATTGTATTACTAAGAAAAAGTAAATTATGTTGTAAGACATGTTTCTCAGCAGTGAAAAGTTTAGCCAGGGCAGAGCTGAACTTCCTGGGACTGACTTCCTCTTACTAAATGGTAATACAGGCCACCACACAGACGTTACGTGAGCCTATGTCTGTTTGTACTTTCATAAGTTAAAAGAAATCCCCTTTTCTCTCCAGGTATTGATCAGCCTGGTGCTTACAAAAATTAGGGCTTCGATATAATGAAGGGGTCAAATTATAAATACAATGTGAATGCAGCTTTTCGAAGGGTTCTGCTTAATAGAGGCCACGAGGGTTAGTTTTGTCAGCCTCTAGGTGAAGCTGATTCTCTGCCCTGGTCTGAAAACCACTGCAGCTGCTGTCGGACCTGTCAAAGCAGAAACCATACCATCAAGGAGCAGCTGCATTCCAGTCAGCTCCAGACTGGCTTCCACACTAATCCACACTGTCTTGTCATTGCAAAGGATCATAGTATTAAACACCTTGTCAGCACCATTGACAATGTAAATGTAATTGGGGGTTGGGAGTTACACAGCTGAAACATACAGACTGTTAATACTATATGCTTTTACTTATTTTTTTAAAAGTCAGGAATGTGACAGATAAGAAAATAGAAAATATTCTGTACTGGGTGGAACACTACATTCTAAAATTTTATGATGACCAATATACCCAATATCAAACCATTGAAAATACTGTGGAACAATAGAGTTTTATGAAATGAATGTATTTACCACAAAAAAAAAGATCAGAGACCAATCGATAGTGGCTAGTTTTGTTGTTGTCACTGTTGTCATTATCTGACTGGGTTGGGTTGAGTTTAGTTGGGTTAAGTTAGCTATATCACCAGCGCTCTTGAATTTTTTGTTTTCTTTTGAGACAGGGTCTTGCTAAATTGCTCAACCAGAACTGGAACTTGCAATCCTCCTGTCTTAGCCTCCTAGAAAGCCAGGATTACAGGCATAAGCTACTGTGCCCAGAAAACATCCAGGGCTCACTCACCATCAGTAATGGTCAGTCTTATCAGGAAAGTTTCATTTTGTCCAGTGCTGGAGATAAAGCAGCAGCGGTAAAGCCCAGAGTCGGAGGCAGTGGCGTTGGGAATGATGATGAAGCTGCTTCTGATGCCCTGCGTACAGTTGGTCAACATTTGTTTCCTGTACTTGGAGAAACTTTTCCCTCTGGACAGATTGCAGTGCGTCAAGAGGTCTATCTGGTGTGGCTGGATCTTCTCCCACGTGATTTGTTGTGCTGACCAGTTCATGTGAAGCTTAAAGCTGAGTTTGACATTTCCAGGGCTTACGACCATGTGGCTATGTTTCCTCAGCTGTATCTCAAAACTGTCTGAAAAGAAGAATCAAATGATTAGACTTATGGGATCAAATGTCTAGACACGTACAAAGCTACCTAGAAAGTTCTATCAAAATAATTGGTGATGCTAACTAATGGAGTTTCATCAATTGTAAATAATAGCACACTTTGTAAAGGGAATTTTTGAACAGCTGGTAGACTGATAGCAAAGAGGATATGATAGCCTTTGCAGCCTTTAAGTGTTACTTGGTTAATCAGATAACAAGAAACAGAAACAGAACCTGGTGATTTTCTTGGTAATGATAATATCAAGTCTGGATTTCACAAGCGAGTTCTGCAGTAATGCTGAGATGGTGAGTCACTAAGACATGCTAAGATTTTAATGGTCATGAAAAAGATACGAAGTCATTTTCATTGAATTTATGCATAAATTCGTTTTTACCTGCACAGGATGGTCTTAGGTGTCAGTAGAGAACCACATGTGGTATGAATTTCTGGTAAGAAAGGGCCCCTCAATATTTGCCCACAATTTACTGCCATTTCTGGAGTTTCTAGCACACTCAGTATTTGTCATCAAATGTCTAAACCAGCAGCTTTTATAGCATGTCCTGGGGTCCACAAATGATCCCTGTATCCCTTTTGAAGACCTGCAAGGTCAAACCTATTTTAAAAGTAAAATTAATGTGTGATTTACTATCCTCATTCCTAACTGTTCACAAGTATAGCAAAGATACTTCAAGAGGTCCCACAGTTTCTCATACATCAGCTAAGAATTCATGTGCTTCTCCATTTGTTGAGTAGAAATGTAGATAAATCTGCATCATCTTCCATCCTTAAATGTTAAGCCTAGTTCAGACTAGCATCTCTGGTATTAGAGAAGGAGATTAGGAACCCCCACATCCCACTTGGACTTCCTCATTATCTTCCCTCCCATGAGTGCTTTATGCTTGCATAGAAGATAATGCTCATTTGTTAAAAGAATTCCTGGGCTGTACTTTGTGCTCAATATTAAATATGTACAGTAAATACAACAGATATAACCCACAGAAGCAAATGCTCTTTAGAAGTCTCAGTAATGTTGAAAAATATAAAAATATCTTGAGACTAAAGAGTTTTTGAACCTAACATTAATAATAAATTTCAGGATTTATTTCCCAAAGTTAAAGTACCCAGAGTAGTAATAGATGGATCTGTTCATCAGTGAGTGCAACTCTCCCTCGTCCCATAGCTTTGCTGGGCAGAGTTTGTGGGCAGCAGGAAAATAGGGAGCCTCTGTCTGAACTCACAATAATAATGATAATAATAATAATAATAA